CTTCTGTGTCACATGCAGTCCCTCATCTCTTCTTTCCCAGGCCCCTGCCAGCCAGCTGGTGCCATTGTTGGTTGAAAAGTTCAAGGGTGCCATGGGGAAGCTTGAATTATTGATGCCATCTTCCCTCCATACTCCCGTAAACACTCATTGCCCAGGCACAGCTCAGCCGGGCTCAGCATTTGACTTCACAGCTGGCTTACGAGGACGCTAGGATGGGCTACAGACTGTCTGGAAGCAAGACACAGGGTAATTAAGTGTTGCCATGTACACAAATGTGACTTTTTATGCATGCTGCCAAGCAAATATCTGGGATCAGAATGGACAAGATGGGTATGTTGGGAAACTGATTGTAGAGATGGTAGTAAACAAGGGACTTGAGCAAATTTGACGGGTGACTGAAAACAGCCACTACTGAGAGAAAATGTCAAGTGTTTCCATGTAAGATTAGTGGCTGTGCTGTATCCATGGTGTGAGGCAATACATTTGGCAGGGTAAGAGAAGTGTGTAGAGATAAAATCAGAACTTGGATTCTCTCTTCTTAAAACAACAGTAGGATATTTCTATTCTTTTCTCCTGTCTTCAAATTGTTTCTGCATCTGTCAGTAGCATCAAAGCTCCTCCTCTTTTCTCCAATGGGGAAGGAAAAATTGCAACTGTATTTTTTTGTTTGTTCTGTAGTTAATTAGATGCTTCTGGTTATATGAAGAGAGGAATTGGTAGGCAGGGTCCTGCAGTAGCCTCAAATGTGGCATTGACAGCCACCCTGGACCAAGGACAACAGCTTTGATTCTATAAGGAGTTGTTGATCTAGCCTCTGACTATTTTATTCTTACTATTAATGGGAATTAGAGGTGGGCCTGGATTGAAACACTGGCTCTGAATGGTCTGGAATTGTGAAATTCAAACTCTGAACCGGGTTCCAAATCTTGGAAACTTTATAATGAGTCGAAACAAAATCCTGAGTTTCCCTCCCATGCCCAAAGTTGGAATGTTCTTCTCTTTCATCAAAGCCCAAGTGTCAGAGCAGCAGTACATCTGTCATGTTAGTTGGATTTAATTTTCCTGAGATCATCTACCTTCCAAACACTAGACAAACTAGTAATAGACCAGTTGTTGCTGCAGCACAACCATTATGTACACCCTGTGCAGATGCAATACAAACCTTACTGTCGGCATGTGGAGGGACAAAATACTAAAGATTTAGGGCCCAATCACGCTGCCATTAAGATCAGTGAAGAAAGTCCTCGTTGTCAGGAGCGGAGCAGGGTTAACAGTTTAGGTCATAAGCTTTGGTGCATTATATCACTCACCCCACACACTTTAGGCTTAGATTAAAGGAAGAATGGAAAGGGGCAAGTTGTGCCTGAGTATTTGCAGGGAAGGGGATTGGAAGGGGGTTTAATGCTTGGGTATTGAATCTGAAGGCCCCAAGGAAACACAAAAGGGTCTGGGTTTTAATCTCGGCCACTCAAGCCTGCAGTGCTGTCTGTCTGTGTATAAGCTAGTTGGCTTCTATTTTGAGGCATAGTAGCAGTATGTTGCACAGCATCAGAGCTCTAGCTTGTTGGGGTGGGGGGTGGATCTCCTCCATGGTTTGCAGTGAAGGAAGGAAATGAGCAGAGCAGAAACATGTCCAATAAAACCATGCATTTTGTATTCTTGGGGCACTTTTTAGGACATTTCTCCTCTAGGATCAAATGATCCTCTGGAGTGCTGCTGCAGTCTCTATTGTTAGTACCAAGGCTTATGCAGACTCTGATCATCTGAGTTGTTCTTTAGTTTGTGGTTTTCATGCTCACAGCCGGGTGACCCAGGCTATATTTCCCAGAGCCTTGGGATGTATCTTGGGTGGTTTTTAAAAAACTATTTTTGAGGATAATTAGACAAGCTTCAATCTACATATTGTGAGCAGTTAGCTAAGGCTCCTGGAACAGGGAATAGGTTTAATTAGCCAGCCTTCCTTCCGCCCTCCTTCATCCCCTAGGTAAGCTCTATGCTGACCCATCTGATTTGCAGTTTCTTTCCAAACCTCACACCTCACCCCATTAAGAAAAAGTGGTCTTGTATTAGATGGTTGCAGCAAACCAGTGGGTTGTAAAGTCTGTACAATACTCTGTGTCTATACATCACTCCCCATGCCTTAAACCACTGACACAGTTGCAGGTCTGTAGTAGTGCAGTCAGTTCTCCTAACTCCGCTGCAGTTAGTGATGCCTTAGGGAGTTTTCTGAAAGCCCCGGGCTGTTCTGCCACAACTCTGAGTACTTTGGGGTAGATGCTTTAGAGTAGTATAGCCATGGATTTGAGGTGCATTATACATGGCTATACCAAAAAGAGCTTTGCTGTGCGAGACCTACAATCAGTCATTCATATCACTGATATCCCATAAAGGCTTCTTATATCCCTTGGGTTGTCCTAAGTCAAGATGTGACTTTGTTTGTCCTGGAACAGAAATGTCTCGGGTTTGGCATGTACATGCATTGCCTTCCAATCAGGGTTTAGTGAATGAGTGGCTAAATGCACTGCAACTTCTCTGCCACTAATTCAATGATACAATCCCAGGACAGCTGTTCAGATGCACTTTGTGATGTTCTGGGACAAACTGTATGTACTTTTTATCCCATGAACCTTTTTCAGGGTTTGTCCCGGAACAGAGATGGATATCTGAATGTTTGCACTTTGTCCTTGGATGAAAACATTTTTTTGGGACAAATACATGTTTGTAACCTTATTAGTGTAGATACCACCTGAGCAGTCCATGGCAGCTCTTAGGCAGCTGCTCTGTGGAGCTACAGTGAACCTGCAGCTTAATTCCAGATTCCTGTTGTCCGAGTCAGGGAAATTGTCAGGAAACTCTCGGCTGAAACCGCCCCCCCCGCAATCTCTCCCTCCCTGTATAATGATTTTCTGCATCCTCTAAGTGTTGGATCATTCTTTATGAATCACTTCTTAGTGTCTTGTCAAGTATTAACTATCCCAAGCAGTGGATCTCCCATCTCTTACTTCTCATTGGAGCCAATGTCACAGCCTTGTAGATTTTGCTGCTACCTTCCCTCTTTTCTTTTCTTGGCCTTTTCCCCTCCTTCCCAACCCCCCATCCCCTCTAGGTAACTCTTTTTCATTCCAAAAACAATCTTCCCAGTGATGCCCTCCATAGCCTAACCTAAATGTCTTCAGATTTGGAGTAGTTTCCTTAAAGTGTTTAAGGACACTTAAACACTCAGGCTCTGCCATGAGTGCCTGATTAAAACACATGGACAGGGTGCCAGACTCTGACCTTGTTAATTAAGAGGTTGTTTCAGAGCAAAGGATCTTTATAACTGAAGAGGATGGAGATGATATTCCGCAGCAGACAGGGAGCAGAGCAAACCCACTAGTTACTTTACATTCTTTATTTTCCCCATAATCATGGACAAGAAATAGAGACGAGCATTGCTGATTAGTCCTTAGAACATCTGCCTTTCCCCAGATGAGTAGCTAAATGAATGCTTGGGAAGGAGGTAGAAAAATGCCACTATCCTGGCAAACCCCTTTAAAGTACAGACAAGTCAATCTGTACATTTGGATGCTGCTTTCCCAAATGAACATGTACAACATGGTTGTGTACAGTAATGGGCAATGTGAGAACATATGGCAATGTGATTGTGTACAGTAATGAGCAACTTCGCCACCACTGCTGTCACCTGGGACCTTGTGATTTTTACTGTTGCAAACTCTTTTGTTCAGTTGTTGGGACAAACTTATCCTGATCCCGAAAAATGTTCTGACCAGGCCAGAACATGGCAATGCCAGTGTCTCCAGGGCTGTGGTCTGAGCAGCTCCTTAGAGAAGGAAACTTGGGTTCTACTCTCTGCCCTCACTGGTTTACCAGTTTGTCCTACCTCTTTCCTAATCCTCCCCCTCCATCCCTCCCTTTTTTTAACCTTCTCCCTAGTGAGACTGTAGCTGACCCACTCAGGACAGACCTAATCTCTGCTGTGAAAGTTTGTTTCTGGACCCAGACGTTTGCCACTGAGGCTAATCTCCAAGATCGTGTTTGGCCATAAGTGGAGCATGAAATATTTGCTAGTGTCTCTCTAGTCCATATGTATAACTGGAAATATATCACTGGAATCCCCCCTGCTTATCTATTATTTATCCGTATCATTTATAACCCTTAACTATTATCTAGCAATGGCTGTTTACCTCTTTACAAAGAAATGCTGGATCAGATGGAGACAGGATAACAGTACATAATGAGGCATAAAATCTTTGTCCATATTTTTGGCATACAATCTGGCATATTCTACTTATCTTGTAGAATCTGGGTCAGATAGGTTTGCTTTCTGTTTTGTAAGAAACAGAACAATTGCAGTTCTTTTAGTTCTCCTCTGTAGCATCAAGTTGATCCTACATTTCCAAGCCAGAAACAAAAGTGTGGTTTACTCTGGCTCAGTTGCAGTTTTCCAAGGTAGTTATCTGCTCACTTTCCTTTCATTTCATGCTGCAGTAGCAGGACGCATTCTGTTCTTTCTCAGCAAAAGAGAGCTTAATGGGGAAGGGAAGAATAAAACAAGGACTACTTCATTTTTAGTCATAATATGATGCTATCCCTGAGCTTAAATCACCATTCAAAATGATGGGCCTCTCTCTTGATTTATTAAGCATAGTAGACCTCCCTACAGTTGGAATTGCTGTAGTTACCCATGAAAGGCAAGGCTTGGAGAAAAAGAAACCTGCATCCCAAATCTTAGTGTGATTCAAGAAGACCACATACTAGGGATAAACTAGTACATGGCCATGACATCTTGGGCCCCTTTGGCTTTTTACATCTGAGTCTTCAAAACTTTATTCTGTGAGTCAGTCCTGTCGATGTTGGATGCTTAAGGTTTTGCAGGAGCCAGCCTCCCTGTTTGTTCATTTACACTGGTGGCAATTGTCAAGTTGGGCATAGAAATAGCATGCATTTCTTTTTATAGGTGAACTGCAGTAAGCAACCAGGTGCTTCTGAATGTTGGAGGAATGGCACCCTCCAGATCAAAGGCCCAGAAGAGAGGTGTCAGGCCAAAGAAAGCAGGTAAGGAGAAAGCTTCTCATTCTGAGAAGAGCCTTCCTGAGGATTCCAGAGTCCAAGATGGGAGACCCAGGAAAAGAAGGGGCAATGGCCAGGCTACATGCAAAGACAGTTCTTCTGAACAAGGCACGGTCCCTGAAAGCACATGTGTGACAGGTGCCTCAAAGAGCCAGAGAGAAGAAAGGGTTAAGGGAGGCAAAGAGAGTGGCCACAGGAATAAAAGCAAAGAGGACATAGCCTCCAAGAGCAGTAACAGAAGAGAACTTGGTTCTGGTGGAAAAGATGGAGAGCAATTATCATCCAAGGTGGAAAAGAGAAAAGCAAGGGTCTCCAAGCACCATGGTCTGGGATTAGGTCAAGGAAACCAGGCCAGTGTTTGCAATGAGGAAAAGGCCACTGAGGACAGCAAGAAATGTCATTGTAAAACGAAACACAGAGAGCACCTTACTCAAACCGAATGTGTCAGTGAAGCTGAATCTATAAAGTCCTTCACAGTGGAAAGTGAAGCCTCTTCACAGAAACACAAGTTGCCTTCAAGCAGCAGCCATGGCAGTACTGGGAAAAAATATGATAGGAAATGTTTCTTCAAAGAAACCACTGACAAAAAGTCAGGTTCCCAGCTACAGAGGAGTTGTGAGCTTAGCTCCAAGGCAGCAAAGAGTAAGGGTGATGGGCACAAGAAGAAACAAGGTGGGAAACCAGCCAAGCCTATTTCCAGTGCCAGTGAGGAAGAAAAGACCCTGGAAAGCTCAGAGGATGAATCTCATTCTGACTGGAGCCAAGAAAAAAGAAAAAGAACTACTGACAATATCACTGAAACCAGTGAAGACCAGGGAGGCTCATCGGAGGATGAATCTTCTAGTGAAGAAGAGGAAATCCAGCCTTCATCCAAAGGAAAAGACTGCCAAGAGCCACAGGATGCAAATAGCAATGTGACCAGTGAAAGAGAACAGGTGGTGGTGGGCCAAAGAAGAGAGATTGAAGATGAAGAAACTGACTCTGAAGAGGCTGAGGTTGGTGGGGAAATGAAGGAGCTGGATCCAGTGCCTGTGCAGAAAAAATCTACCGTAAGTGTCAGCAGTGAAGATGGTGGTACGAGTGTTTCAGGGTATCAAGTCAAAAGCTCACCAGAGGGAAGAAATGAGAATGATGGTGAAGAACGGGAAGATCAATTGGGAAAGGACAACAATGAAGAAGTGCCTGAAGATGAGCAAGATGCATCAGAAAGTGATAAGAAGGATGGCACGGAAAAAAAAGATGCCCAAGAGCAGGAGAACCCAAGAAAAAAACCTCTACCTAGTACCATGAAAGCAACGCTCCTGAATGTTGGCTTGAGCAAACCCCTCCAGGAAAATGACCAGGGAGGGAAGCTGCATGACAGTGACAGCATGGTAAAAGTCAAGCCTGCATCAATCACACAGCAGGCACGCCTGAAAAAGAAATCCCGGAGGCTGGAGACTGCAAAACACCATCAGGAGTTAGGAGGTATAAATCAGGGTAATTCTTCCTCTGGTTGCAACAAAGAGGAGGAAGCAGTCACTTTGATTGCAAAGAAGTATAGTCATCTTGCCTTCCAATCCCAAATCCTCCTGAATCTGAAGAACAAGCATAAAGATGCTCAGGCCAAACTGTTAGTGAGCAGTAAACAGACTCCTCTCCAGAAGGCAGCAGAAACCAGCACTGACCTGGAGAAGGTGGAAAGCTGTTCTAAAACCAGTGCCCTGAAATCCCCCAGGGCACGAAGGAAACCCAGCCTGGCAAAGAATCTAGGAGAGACAAGATCAAGTCTTTCCAATGCTTCAACCTGTTCCTCTAGTACTAAAGCCTCATCTGATAAACAGCATTTTGGAAAGACAGAGAGGATTGGGAAAGTTGTTGGCAAGGTCAAGCTGGCTTCAAGCCAGACAGTAGTAGTGAGAGAAGAAGAGGTAGAAGAGGAAGTGGTTGAAGATGCACCTGCTGAGAAAGAACATGTGCTGAAGCAAAAGGGACCCAAGTACCTGCACAAGCTTTCTGCTTTTAAAAGAGTAACCAGCTGGCTCAGTCTAAAGTCTCTCAAGAAAGTAAGTCTGAAAGCTCACTTTCTGAGAGTGGCACGTGCAATTGGCATCTCAGGCTGGCTCTTGAAAAGGTTTGGGAAAAAGAAGAGGAGCAGCAAGCCATTTGGGTTTAGGAGGAGGATGGCAATCAGGATTGTTAGCACTGCCAGGCTGGTCAGTAGGCATAGTAGAGCTTCCACGGAGTTAGTGGGAGCACAGGCGAAAAGAGAACTGAGTAACAAAGGATCTTCTTGGTCACACGTAGAACAGGATCAAGCTGGTGTCCAAGTGGCAGCGGGACTGGCCCAAGCAGAGCTGGCGTCACGTGACTCTCCCCTTAATGAAGCCAGTTCCTCTCTGCAACTGCTAAATTTGGATGAGGAAGAGAAGAACATCCCTGATGCCAAGTTTGCCATAGTTTTTCCCAGAGTTCATCACATGGTAAAGTCAAAAGGCTCCTCTTCAGACAGCTGTGGGAATGGCGACCCACAACAGAAGTCAGTGGATGCTTTGAGCAGGAAGGCAGTGATGTCTGTGCAGCCAGGCTGTAATTTTAAACGTGATCTTCCCAAGCCTTTAACAGAGCAAAGCTGCCAAAAGAGTGGCCGAGGGTTCTCCTGCAGTGATGAAATGAATGAATCAATGCTGGATGATCGAACTCAAGTGGAATCCATTGCAACACAGTACAGAGTGACCAGGCTTTTAAGCTCCTCATCCCAACTGATAAAAACACCAGAGGGTAAGACTACTTCCACATCTCAATTCTCCACAAAGGAGCAAGCTTTGCAATTGCAACAGCAGGCCACTACACCATCCTTCTCTCTAGAGGCAGCTGAAGATTTTTGGTACTCACGGGGCTTCCTTCCACGGGACGACGATGGCGATTCAGGGCATCTGGGGGCCTCTCCCTGTGAGGGTGCTGCTGACAAAGAGGTTGCAAGCTTCATTCAGGGTGCTGGGACTGAAGCTACTACCCGGGTGCATTGGACTCAGCGGCAAAGTCTGGGCTGCGATCCCATGACATGGCTGAACTCTGAGATGCTGCTTCCACGAATCACCATTGAGAACCTCAGCAAATGGGCTATGTACAGGGACCAGGAACTGGCCAAGACCCAGATGCCAAGGGCTTGGAAGGAGAGGTGGGAGGCAGAAGACGTGGCTGAGGATATGCTTGAGATGGAATTCGCATGGAAACAGGCATGTTCTGCCTTCTCTTTTAAGTAGCAAGTGAATGCTTTGGGTTGGGGATCAAACTCTGTGCAGCTTGTAAACATTTCTTATGTGTTTTTCAGGTGTACTTGGGTGAAGGTCACACTTTGGAACTAGAGGAGGTTGAAGATCTCTCCAGACTGGAGTAAGTAATATCAGTGATGATGCACAATTAGCAGTGAGTTGCAAGAGCTCGTTCGTTACCCATCCTGGTATATCTTGGTTCCGCAGCAGGAGAGAGTGCACTGTAGAATATCTCACATAGCTTTTAGAAAGGGGTGATGTTAAACATGATAGTGAGGGTCTGTAAAGGGCTGAATTGTGCTCTTTAGTCCAAGGTCTGCTTTGCAGAATCTCAAGTTGCTTCTCAAACTTTCTCTCTTTGCCAAGAGAAGTTACCAAGCCTCCATCTACACTGTGAAAAGGTGCTGAAATGGGTTTTCAAAAATCAATCCATTCTATAGATGGAGAAACTAAGGCCCGGAAAGCCAAAGTGACTTCATTAATGGATGTGACTGGGAACAGAACCCCTGATCTGTAATTTGCTCTCAGTACCTAACCCGTGTAATGAAATAAAAAAAATCCCACTGTGCTTGGATGACACGTAACGGAAATAGAAGCCCTCTTAGATGAGGGAGAGATTTTAGTGCGTCTCTAACTGCCTAATTCTGTTCCTAGTGAAATCATTATAAAATTTCCATCGGCTTCTGCTACATCAAGCTCAGGACTTAAATATATAGATCCTTTTATGTCACTGAGTTCATTGCTCTTTCTAACACCAGAGCACCCTTAGCTGTTGCTCATCGAACCAGGAACAAACTCTAGCTCTGCTAGATTGATTGGGAAACAGCTTTAATTCACAACATATGCAGTCATTTAATGTCTACTGAAACTGTTTGGGCTTTTATCACCTAGATTGTAGCCACTAGGGGCAGCATGAAATAACATCATGAACATAGAATCAACCTATGGGCGCCTAGACCTGCGCAGCAAGGCTGCTTTGACACACTGTCATTACAGCGTGTCAGAGCAGACTCAATTAACTGAGTCTGCTGGAGCATGGTAATTACCGTGCTCCAGGTAATTACTATGCTCCAGCGTCCCCACACTGAAAAATGGCGGTGGTGTGCTTTAACTAAAGCTTGTTCAACAAGCCTTAGTTAAGGTACCCCCACTGCCTTTTTCAGGGCAGGGATGCTGATACAGGTTTCCCTCACTTTATGCTGTACTTGCGTTCCTGAAAAACGGTGCATAACTTGAATTTACATAAAGGGATCCCACTTTTCAAAGTAACAAATAGGGATATGTTTCAAGACCTCGACTGTACTGACCCCCAGACCCATTTCTACCACTTTTACAAGACAGTTTTGGTACTCGCCAACAGCAGACAGTGCACTCAAGCACACGGTGGTGGTGAATGTTTAGCTGGTGTGAAGAGAGGGTGTTGAAGGCTTCACTGATGGACCAGAAAGAGGGGTAGGAGATAAGCTAGCGGGACACTTAGAAGTCATAATTGGGATGTCAACTACAGAAACACGTCACAGACAACGAGTGAGGAGCACAGATCCATACAGGAGACCTATATATTTTGGTGCGCATCATTCCCACAATGCACTGCACAAAGCAGCTGACTGCGGGCTTCCACCACACTGATCACATAAGAGTGAATTTACCTCGCATATTACAAATTTTTGGTATTAAAAGGGTCATCGCATACGAGCAAATTTGCACATACAGAACCTGTATAAAGCGAAGGAAACCTGTACATGTGATGCTCTGGAGCTTTAATTAGAGTGGGTCTTGCAGCTGCTGTAATTAAAGTACGCCCCTGCCCTGGAGCATGTGTATAAACACCTACAGGGTTGGATGGGCCCTCAAAGGTCACCTAGTCTAGCTCCCTGTGTGAATGTAAGATGTGCAATTCCTATACTGTCCCAGATAAATGTTTCCTCGGCCTCTTCTTGAAAACCGTCAGGGAGATTCCACAAGTTCCCTGGGTTGTTGGTTGTAGCCATGTTGGTCTAAGGACATAGGCAGGCAAGGTTCTTCAGGTAAATGTGATATCTTTTATTAGACCAACTAAATAGTTGGAAAAAAAAATTTGCAAGCTTTCAGGCACAAACACCCTTCTTCAGGCATAACAGCAGCAGCGTCTCCCAATAGCTGAAGAAAAGGTGTTTGTGCCCAAAAGCTTGCAAAGAACTTTTTTCCAACTAGTTAGTTGGTCTAATAAAAGATATCCCATCTACCGAAAGAACCTTGCCTGCCCATGACAACTTCCCTGGAGAACTTGTTCCATCGTCCTATTGTTCACACGGTTAGGAAGTTTTCTTCTGGGATGTAACCAGTCAGCTTCACTGCAGTTTAAACCTGTTGCTTGGTGACCTGCCCTCTGTAGCAGGGGCCAACAGTTTTTCTCCCTTTTCTCTATGACAGCCATTCAGATGTTCCATTGAACATTATTTCAGTGTTAGGCACGGTGTTTTCTCTTGTATACACATGCACTATTTAGATCCTGCCAAGTTCTGAGCCTGGAAAGTGAAATCCAGGAGTGGTCTCAGGACCCAGCATCTTGGTGCATCCCTAAGAGAGGGTAGGTAGATTTATTTTATATACATGAAGCTTTTGGCTGATACTTCCTTCCCTGTGTTTTCTAGGGATGTCTGTGAGAGCTCAGTTCTTCTGTGTCTGAAGAAGAGATTTCATCGCAATTTCATCTATGTAAGGACACCTTTTTTTAGTGCCAATTCATTTGGGACCAGGACTCTGAGGGTGGGTTTTTCCTTGTCTCAGCTAGGGCACAGTCCTCAGGCATCCTAACATCTTTTCCCAATAGACACCAGTGGTATTGTGACCGTGGGCCTTTTACCTGCTGTATCACTCCAGCCTGGATCACATTCTTTACTCCTTGGAGGAGTCCAGAATCCCCAGAACAGTTGTACCAGCCCCTATTGCCATTCTCAAAATCAGCCATAAGGGACACAGAGAGATGCTGTAACATCCCTCTTTTCTTTTGTTCCCATAAGCAAGAGTTTCAGCACAGGATACATCTGAGAATGGGGGTTGCCACTGCTAACGTTAATGGGAGCTGTGCCCTGCATGCAGAAGTGCCATTGACAGTGCCTCTTGTCTTCAAGAAGAGGTTAGATAGGCATCTGGCTGGGGTCATCACTCTTTCCTGCCTATGCCGGGGGTCGGGCTCGATGATCTATGGAGGTCTCTTCCAGCCCTAACATCTATGAATCTATAATTGACAGACCACCGATGTATGAAATTTCCAATAGATGCACAGTAATTAACCCCTGCACTGAAAATCCTTCTTCTAAACACAGCCAACAGTAGGATCTTGGAGTACTGTGTAAATTTATATCCAGGCAGGGGAATTCAGAGTGGAAATGTCTGCATAAGTGACATTAAAATTGGCGTGTATCCACCCTGCACAATAGTACTAGTCTTTGCACATCTTTCACTTGTGTCACATCTGATAAAGACCAGACTTGACTCCCATAGACCAGCAGAGCCTGTTCAGCTCCTGGCATCTTTTCTGTCATGCACTTTCTTAGTACAATGGAGGGTTCCGATCATCGAAATCTTATCAATGACAATGAGGCAAAAGCCATCTGGGCCCTCCCATCCTGCAGATAGATTCTGCAAGGCCAAGGTCAAAGAAACTGTCTTTGCATTTGTAAACAAGGCCAATGAGAACAAGTGTGGAATCCAACAAGATGCTTTTCCTAGAGTCACTTTTTAAACTGCAATCCACTCTTTAAGCCTCAAATATTCTGGCATTGTACTTTGTTTGGAATGGGAATTCATTCATTCACGACTCTGAGACCCATTGGACCTCTAGGCAGGATAGATAGGGTAAGAGAGGACAATCATTCCGTGAGCAGATGGAAGAGCATGTCACACACCCTGGAAACCCCTGGATTTCCCTATGTCCTGAGTGTGCCTAGCTGCAGTTTCAGGCTGAGCTCAGCCAAGTTGGGAGGGAACTCCCTGTCTTGTCCAAATAGTCCCAAGAGTTATTTCTGGATTTCACACCAAGTTTCAATATGAACCTATATTTTCACATGGGAAAAATGTGTGAAGAACACCCCTCACCCTTGGCAATTAATTTAAATCAAAACCTTTAACATTGCAGTAAAGCTCATTAAAAGGCTCTGTATGGATTAGGTAACATTGTTAATTTCAAATGCCATTTAGAAATCTCTGATAAACTATAAAATCTAATACCACCACATCTTTGTTTCCTCACCTAGACCTATATTGGGCAGATCTTGGTCTCTGTGAATCCTTTCAAACCCCTCAATCTCTACTCAGAAGAAGTGATGGCTCAGTACCGGCAAGAGATGCTCTCCAAAAATGCTCCGTATGTTTGTGGGTTTTTCCCCCTCTCAAATAACCCAGTTTTTCTTAGCCCTGAGAAGGCTTTGTGCTCCATGGTTTCCCAGGATCATTACACTTGGCTGAAGGTGGCCTCATAGGGTTGGGCTGGAGCTGGGTGAAATGTACAGTACATTAAGCAAAATGGTCCTTACCTGGCACTTGTTGATATTGTTGTTTCAAGTATGCCATGCCATGTTTTCCTTGAACAAGGTTTTAACCCAAGAATCTTAAAGTGAAAACCCAGGCCTGATTCAGGTCCATGTCCAGTACAGACATTCAAGGCTGTAGTAACAAACCAGAATTTTTTTCTGTGCATCTAGGCACATCTTTGCTATTGCAGAAATGGCTTATACACTGGCTCAGACAGCAGAGAAAGAGCAGTGCATCGTTATCAGGTAGGAGATGAGGACATTTCTTTCCATGCTATGGTATGGTGTAGGTCTCAGAATCCTCCTCTTCCCAAGTTTCTTTCCCATTGCAATAGCCATTTCATAGGATAGGAGGGTAGCAAATATCATGGCTGAAAAAGGTTTCATGGGGAATGATAAGGGTTGTTTAATTTAAAAGTGGGACATGACAAGAAGGCACTTGGTAAAAGCCCATGACATAACTATTGGTAGAAAGGAGACTGGGAAGTCAGGTGGTTTCAAATGTTGCCCTGAGCTTGGTGCCATGCCTCAGAGTATGATAAGCTGCCCCTTCCCTGTCTTACTTGTGTTAGTTTGAAGGTAGCTGCTCAGCAGAGATGACCCTGCCCTGGATGACATATGGTTTGAGGTGGGAGGGGAAAGCATTTGGCTCTTTATGGGGTTCTCATTTGGAGCTGTGTTTTCAGCTTGCCTTCAGACTTTTAAATAATGTTGGGTGGATCCTGGACTGTCACGAGTCCATAGTTTTCCACTGACTTTGGTAGAGCTATATTGACTTAAGCCAGCAGAAGGTCTTACCCAGTTATTATAGGCACCCCTGGCCCAATCCTTATATCCATCCCTCTGATCCCTAACCCTTGCTCCAACAGTGGGCACAGTGGATCAGGTAAAACAGAAGCTGCCAAAGCCATCGTGCAGTACCTAACCACGATGTACCAAAGACAAGATGGCCATAGACTGAAGCAGGTAAGGGGCAACCGCTTTACTTTAGGGGTCACTGTGGGCTAGCTAATGGCCCACTAGCCAGGACTGGAAGATGGAAGCAAAGCAGGAGTATTCCCTCTTCAAGTCCTTCATGAGTGGGCTGTGGAGACAGAGGGTGAACACCTTGCTCCCAAGCTTGCTTGCCTGCCTTTTTGGGGGGCATAACACACAAAACACTTCTAGTCCTGTTTTTCCCAGTGTACCCAGGTTCAGCTTCTCTTTCATGTCCCCTGAGGACCAGCTACTCCTGTCCCAGGCACATGCCTTATAAGACCAACTTGAACCAGTCAAGTATCAATGTGAGGCCTCTCTGGTTGTGCTTTGCCTGTTGGAGAATTACATCTTTGTTACACAGATGACATGACTGGCTTTGGGATGTGTAGTGTTTGAGGAGAGCCAGAGGCCCAGTGAAAGACAATGGGACTTGGATGTTTGTATACTTTATCCTGGGAGTCTGAGATGCTTGATACACAATGCCAGAAACCAGAGCCCATTTCTCATAGCAAGATACTAGCAGTAGAAGCATCATGAGATTCCTCAAGCTGTGCAGCCTCCTGGCAAGAAGACAAGAAAACTCAATTGCCCCTCCAGTCATTAGCCTCTCTACTGAGCCTGCCTTTAAGGGCCCCAGACAGTGCCAGGTATGCCAGGGATGGTTGTTATGAAGTGAGGCTACTAAGGACCTGCTTCTGAAGTCAGCAAAATCCTTCATGCTTGGCACACTGGGCAGCAAGGAGTTGGGAACTGTTCCCAGGGTCAATGCCATCTGGCTTTGAGTCCAGGAGCTAGAGATGTTGAACATAGAGACACCAAACATCTCCTGAGCTGGATCTCAGACCAGTTTGTAGATGCCTGGTGTGTCTGCTCATCTTTTGCAGTTTTGTGCTCTCTGGGGGAACAACCAATCCTTTGTTAAGTTTTGTAGAGCTTAACAAAGCCTATGGGGCCTGGTCTCTCAGCTTGATTGCAGTACTAACTGCCTGTCTGATATTAAAAGAACAAAGCAAAACACACAAGGAACAGAAATTTGATAACAGGGAACACTGTGATCCAATAGACAAAAGACTTGTCCTCAGTGCAGCAGTTCTCTTGAGTCAGGCTTCATCTATAGTACAGAATTTGGCTGACATAGCTCTGTTTCCTAAGTGTTTGAAAAGATCATACCCCTCCCTCGCTGATATGGCTGTCAGTAAAACCACTAATGACTTGAGGACATTCACTTCTGTATGGAGAGCTGCTCTGTGGCTTTGTCACCTGGGAAAATAACGTGCACTGGGCTTCCACCAGGGGGTGCTCCCATCCTAGCTAAATCACCACAGCCATTTCTGCAATGGCTCTATAAGGCTGTGATTATATTCAAGTTACTCCCTGGAAGGTATTACAGCTGGTGTGAGGGTGACTGCCGTATAAAGCAATGCTTGAGCTGCAGTGTGACTGGGTTGGACACCCAGGAGATGTTGCAACATGAAGTTCGGGCTGGTTTCAGCAGCACTCAAGCCTCAACCCTCATCAGCCCCCAATGCATCGTCCAGCAAAAGCTTACAGCTCCCTTTACCTTGAACTGGAGACTTGTATGTGGGGGGGTTGGACTCGAGGTAAAACCTAAGTTACGGCATGAGCTCATGCTGCGGCAAAAGGGAGTCTAAAGGGGCTAGTGGTGGGATGCTGATAGGTTGTATTACTGTAGCAGCTATTAGCCTTTGTCTGGGACAAGGATTCCATCATCCTTAATGCTCAAGAGATTGACCAACGTCAGCTGCTGTCCCAAAGAGCTAGAAGCAAATCCAACGGCTGATCTAGTTCAGACACATTTTAGACTAGGAACAAGGTTCACACTGTTAACATGACAGTAGATAACCATCAGAAACACCTGCCAAGCCTTGTGCTGGCTCTAGCTCGAACAGGAGCCCACACAGGCCATAGGACTCACCTGTATTACACAGGCAGTCGGGCCAGGTGGTTTCTCTGGTCCCTTTGTACCTGAGAGTCTATTGTTTGTAATATAATGTCTCCTGCCCTGTCCTGCCCCCCAGCCCTGTGAGGTCCTGCCCATCTTGGAGAGCTTTGGGAATGCCAAAACCATCCTCAACGACAACTCAAGCCGCTTTGGGAAATTTCTGCACGTCCATCTGAGGCAGTGAGTCAACAGGGCATTGAAAGATGCTGCTTGCTTCCAGCCTGGCAGTGAGGTGCTGGGTAAGGGAGGGAGACACTGAGCCAGACACCCCCCAGGAACAGCTCCAGGGTGCCTCTGTGGGTAGGTGGGCTGTGCAAGGGGTTTGTGTAACACAAGTCTTCACCTACCCCACTTTACTTTTTCTTTGTGGGGGTCATCCTTAAGTTTGTGACCCTGAATTTGCTTTTGTGTGTGCTTTGAAAGCTCTCAAGAAGTCTGCCAGATTTTCCTGATTTGAAATCCCAGAGGCCCTGTTTGCAGTTTGTTTTCCACATTCAGGTAGCGCTCAGCTGAGATGAGGGTACCCTTTTGATAGGTGTTGTACATACACATAAGTGAGGGATGTTCCTATGGTCTAAAGTGCCTTGACAGACAGAGGAAGTGGGGGGCAAAGAGGCCAAGAGAGACAAAGGGACTTGCTCATGGTGTTACAGCCAGTCAGTGGCCAAGCCAGAACTCAGCTCTCCCAGGTCAGTGCCCAATCTTCTCAATCATGCTGTTTCAGTATGAAAATCTACCGGGATGCAGGTCTATTTATAACCATTTAGAGCCCATTGAGGATCTAATCTGGTTTGGTCTTGCAGTGAGGAGAGAAGTGACTGATCTCTCTGCCATGGTGCCAGACTGTGGCACAGCTAGAACTGTGTTCAGTGTTGCCAGGCCCTGGCATGGTAAGAAGGATCAGCTTTGTTGACAGGGCAGCACTTTGCCTAGTGGATCAGGGTGGCTTGAATTATGTGACCATGCTGCTTAACCTCATTTGCATCTCTGCATTCAACCATACCACTGCTACTTCTAGAGTGGTGACTGAGTCTGCTGCCTGGTTACAAGCGGTGTGTCAGGATCGTTGTATGACATGGCAAATATTTCACTAGCTAATAAAATCCTCCGTACAGCATAAATCCTATGAGATGCATTGGTTCCTTCCCACCCCCCAGGGCCCATAGCATGTTACTGCTGCAGTAGCATTTTATAGCCCCAGGCCTCATTGCACTAGGTGCTGTAGATGTGCAGCAGAAAGACAGTGCAGACCCCAAAGAGTTGGACAAGAGATGATGGGTTCAATAAAAATGGATGGGAGAATATGGGGAGATGGTGAGACAAGCCCAAATGTTTGGAAGCTAATTAGGGGGGACACACTGGTTACACCTCAAAACAGTTTGGGGATTTGGAGATCTTTCTGGATTGTTTTGTATTTGTATGGCAGGGACGCAGCTCCACTGCACTTCAAGATAGAAGGCTATCCTTACTTTTTATCTGGTTGCTTGCTGTACAATGGGGCTGCTCCAGAATCCCAACTCTGAAGTCCTGCAGACTTTGGTGGTGGCTTTCAGAGACAAAATTTTTGCCTTGGGCCCATGTCCCTAAGTAATGGCCCTCCTTAGTCAGATGCCTATGCTGTACAGAGTACAGCTGGGTCACCAAAAATCCCTCATCTTACAGAACCTATGTTCTCCTCTCACACACAGCGGGGTCATGGTGGGTACGTCCATCTCCCAGTATCTTCTAGAAAAGTCCCGGGTTGTGTTTCAGGTAAGAGCTGACAAGCCCTTCTTCCCGTGGTCGTACTCCCTGCATGTCTAGGCCATGTTTGGTTTCAATTGATAGTGAATAATAATTGATACTGAATTTTCCACTTGGACTTTAGATGACAGTATAGGGACAGAAGTGCACCTTGCCAGTGTGACTACACTGCATTGGATCTCCAGCTGATGCAAGTCAGGGTTAGTCCATTGTTTTCAGTGAAGTTGTGCTGACTTACACCAGTCGAGAAATTGGCCCCACTACAGAGAGTAGTCAGAATTTTGGCTGGAGTTAGGCCACTTGGTAATGCTTTTTCAAAGTTTGTTGGGGTTTTTTTTTTTGTCCTTTTCCCATCCTTTGGGGATACAGCTGGGATCAGCAGCTGGAGTCCTGTGAAGGAGGATGTATCCCCCTTTGGCATTTTAAGTGTAGTTTCCAAGTGATGCAGTTCTTATGAGACTTTGGGTCTCACTGTGCACAGCCCAAGGGTTTGGAAAGAGCTCTACTTAGAGATGCATTTCATTGGCACTTATGCCATAGGGCACAAAAACAGGATTTTAACTAATGGCATGATTATACTTTCTCAGGCCCATGGCGAGAGGAGCTACCATGTGTTTTACGAGTTGCTGGCAGGGCTGCCCATGGAGCAGAAAGAGCAGATGTACCTGCAGGAGGCAGAGACTTACTTCTACCTGAATCAGGTGAGTGAGGAGGTGCAGGTTCTGCAACATGTGGTAGAGTGACATGGCTGACCCTGCTTTTCCATCTCACATCAGTTAAGGCCCCCTCTCCACACAGGTGGTGCAGAAGGTGCTCTGCTTCCCTTCTCAAAATCCTCTTACAGAGGTAGCACAGTATGATTTTGGCTCTTGGCTGCCCAAGGTCCTGCCTGGAGCCCATGAATGAGTGTCTTTGTCCTTAATACTTTAGGTCATTTCTCTTCCATCTCCCACCATTCAGGCCTCTTCTCTTGGAGAAGGGCATGTTAGTGGGAACCTTGTTCTGTGAGGGTTAACCAAACAATGACCTGGTATGCTGACTCCATGGCTTCAGTGCCCAGTGAAAATAGCTAGGTCTAATATGCCTTTGCTTGGGTTTATAATCTACCCTGCACTAGAAAACAACAGGTGAGATGCCTGCTTTATCAGGGGTGGTTCTTTTCATCCTATATCCAGCTATGCAAAATACTCAATTGAGTTAAAGGTTAGTAAATTTAGAACTGCTAATAAAAAATTGCTGGGTCTGAATGGAGGAACTGGCCAGCAAAACTGCAGCAGAGAAAAATTATTCTGGAATGAAATCACTTTCATTCTGAAATAGTCTTCATACAGGATGGCTATTGCTACATAGCAATAGTGGACTGAGGAACTTATGAATCATAGTCCTATATTTAGAATAGCATCAGCTTTCCTCCTAGTAAAGATGAGACAAGTGGCCTTATGACTCTAGGAGGCTCATGTAATTAATGGCTTGGCATAATCAATAGATTTGCATTTCCTTAACACCTAGAAAGAAGCAAGCATCACAGTATCTCATTTCAGGCAAGGTCTATGCTCCAAAGCTCTGCGAAATCACAGTCTATAGTGGGGGCTTGGTGGTGTGGATGTTAAGGTACATGGTTGACAGCCTCAAGGTCACAGGTTTGAAGCTATAGCAGACGTGCTCATGAAACGGCCTTGCCAGGTTCCAAAGAATCTGTAAGTTCTGCTACATACCCTGTTGCAAGGACATGAAAAGGAAGGAAGGACATCCCATTGTCAGCATAGCCAGGGTAGCAGAACTCCTGGTGTAGATGCAGTAGTAGTGATGAAGGGTGCTTTTATCAGCATTGTGAATGCCATTCAAGGTGGCAGTGCAGCTAGGGTGATGGTGGAAAGACTTCTAACCCTTAGTTAGCTGGAGATAATGATGCCCCTGCAGCATCCCAATGAGAGCTGATATTGTGAGTACAGTGCCTTGGCCTGCTAGGAATTGGGGGAAGGGGAATTCTGTGTGCAAAGGGAGATGAGTAGAGCTGGACAAAACCTCACCAGCCAAATCTTGGGTTTTGGGCTTGGCAAAACCAAACCTGGAGGTAGTTTGGTTCTTGGTTTCTGTCTGTATCTGAACCATCAAAGCTTCGGGTGAGATGGTCAGTCAGGAGTCTTCTGCCACATGTGGAGTGTTGCACACATGCTAAGAAGTGCTCACTTTAGTGTTTCTGAAGTACCACCTTTATGATTTATAACTGTATCTGAATATTATCAGACCTGTCCTGACCAAGGTGGAAAGGAAAGCATGGAGGGAGGAGGGATTTGCCCAGAGGTTTGCAGCAAAGTTCTGTGCCAAGGCTGTGTCCTACTGTATTCACTTGTGTACCACAACAATTCCCAAAAATCAGCCCTTCAAAACCAGGACACATGCCTTAAGCAGGGAAGCTGATTTTACTTTGCTGGAATAAAAGCATGGAGACACTGTGGCACCAGAGGGCTTCCAGCTTCTCTCTGGGACAGCAAATGAGAGAGGCAGAGTCTAGTGTTAACCCTTTCACAGCTGCTGTCAAATTGGCAACACTTTGCGGCTGAGCGACCAAATGAGCAGATACTGGCAGCCATCTTTCAGCCCAGCCTCTACATGCAAAAGCTAGTTCTAAGCCACAACTGTGGAAAAATCTTTTCTTGACACTCTGCCTTCCATATCTTATTGGGGGGGTAGGATATTCAAGGAAATGTAGTGTGCATTTTGTTGTTCTGAAGCATAAAATGTTGGGCACAGGCCCCCTTCGTTATATCCCTGGCGATACATGGCAGGTGAATTGCAACATGACATATCTTAGAAAGCCTCAAGTTGCTGCTGGACTGGAGCTGGGAAAAAGCTTTAGCGCCAACAAGCTTGAGATGGTCTTCTCTACTGGAGAAACTCAGCATGGCCTTTACCTACCTCTCAGCCCAGTTGGTCTTTTACAAGTTGTATTTAAAGTTTCTCCCGGTGCATCTTGATGTATAGACAGGGCTGTTGGGGCTGTCCCCCTCAAGCACTCAGCTGGTTCTTCTGTTTCTGCTTAGTTCTTCAATGTGTTGTGGGATGAATTTGTGGTATCAACATGATCTCCATGGGGTTCATTAATCTACGCATTAACAATGTATGTGAGGCCACTCAGATTATGCAGCAAAAGGTCTCAGTCTCTGATCCTAGACCAGTAATTCAGTCCATGCAGATGAAGTCAGATCCAGGCCCATGGAGCTTGTATCCTGAGGGAGAAAAGATGGGCCAATTAGGGCCAAAAATGGCCTAAACAGGGGATTGGGTTTTTCCCCCATGGCTTCCAACTCTTATTCAAAGGCTGGACTCTTTATTGGCCTCAGGTTGCAGTGCCTTCAGCAGATCTCCAGCTGGAACCTTCTCTGAGAGTAGGGTGAAGGATTTGGGCTATGAGGGGAGAAAGTTTTGGCTCATATGGATGTCTGTGATAGGAGCTGCTGTGAGGTGGGAGCATATGTGCGTTAGCAGAAATGTTTCCTGCGGTTGCACGTACCTGATGTGGAAGGAGAAATATGGACATAGCCCCAATCTAACAGCCCAGAGTTGAACACTCCCAGATCTGGATGAAGTGTAAAGTGTTGGTCACAAACATTTCTGAAATGGTCCCTCTTCTGATGGGCCCAGTACAGACCCCTTGCACTTTGCAACCCAGAACAAAATTCTGCAACCTGGGGTCCATCTCCTGTCCTGGGATGTGACCTTGGAGTGAGAAGCTGGCTGTGATTTAACCCCTGGTCTTGGTTCTCTCAGGGCAGAGCATGCAACCTATTGGGGAAGCAGGACGATCAGGACTTTACAGCCTTGGTGCAAGCACTGCAGGGGATTGGCCTCTCGGATGATGAGCTGACCTCTATCTGGGCAATGCTGGCTGCTGTTCTGCAGCTTGGGAACATCTGTTTTACCTCCTGTGAGGTATGTTAGTCCCTTGCTAGTTCTGGGGGTGACAGACACGGAATAGTACAGCAGTCTCGTGATGGGACTTGGGGTGTTCTTCCCTGTTGAACACAGTCTCATCTGCTTCTCTGAGACTGCTGCAAATACCCAGGGAAGGAGAACCTGGGCTGCCTGAGGTCTTTGGAGCCTAAAGAGCCAAAGTCAGGCAAGATGAGGTACTGGGGTTTTGTGACCTGCCCTTGTGCAATGAGGATGAGACCAGTTCTCTGCAGATATTGCCCTGGATAACAAGTCTGGGACCCTGTCTCTAGTATCAGCTTAGACCTGTTCTTGTCCCCCATGATCTAGAAAGGATCCTTTGAACTTGCAGCCATCCCCAGTGACACAGAAATCCGGATTGTGGCCAACTTGTTGCATGTCTCAGCAGATCTCCTGCAAAGTGCCATCACTCATCGGGTCACTGTGAGTACCTCATGGCCACTTCATCTCCCTGTTCTCCTGTTTGAGCTTGTGTTGTATAGGGAAAGGGTTGAAAAGGATACCTCTGCTCTGCCCCAGCCCTGGGCTTTTTCTGCAGGGAGATCTGAGCAGTAGCCACTGGTAGCCTGTTTACAGCGGCCACCTTCTGCATGAACTAGGAACGTCACCCCCCCCCCGGTTTGGCTGTGTTATATGAAGCAGAACAACCTCTTTACTTGGGGGCTCATGTCTATGTTCATAGTAAGAATCTGAGGGGAGCTGGCTTATAATCAATATATAGGCTTCCAGTTGAAGGGACTTACCCTGCCATCTGCCCCCAAAATGGCACCATACCCTGAGGCAAGAGCTCAGCCACAGGGATAACTCTGACTTGGTTCCCTAAGGTGCCCTGAACTCGGGTTTTGGCAAAGTTCAGGAGGAAAAGAGCCCCCAAACCTTGGGCCCTCTGATGAGAATGTGCTGTCCCCAGCCCTGCAAGCTTCAAGCTGGGAGCTGGCACCAAAAGGCAGCACACTGCAAGATGACTCCTGTAGGGGTCTCTAAATGTGTGCGTGTGAGTGGGTGTGAGATGGACATGGTGCTCTGTTACGCTGAGAAACCTTTGACCTCACTCTGGCAGTGTGAAAGCACCTTGAAGTGGGCACATGTTTCACCCCTTCTACTGACTCAGTAATCACAGAATCAGTAATTGTGCCACAGGGTACAATCTTACCAGTAATTGTGCCACAGGGTACGTCTATGGCAGGGTGTTCTGTCCTACGACTGGAAGAAATAAGCTCCACCAGCCCTGTAAGTGCAGTGAGGGTGTCCTAAACTGCCACCCTTGAGCCCCCTAGAAATCCAAGTTGGGAACATGGTGTTTGGGGCACCCTTGGGTACTGATGTAAGTGGAGTGGAAGTGGCTGGGCAGGGGTTATTTCCTCTGTGGCTTGAGTGAACTCCTTGCTACCACAGTGTAGATGCACTGTTAAGTCCAGATGAGTCCCAGGTCCAATATCTCCAATAACTGGATCTCAGCTGAGTAAGACCCAAAAATAAAATTCTACTGTAATCCTTGCCTTGCATTGTGCAAGGGAGTTCCTGGGCAAAGAACTCCCATGTTAAGCTGTATCGATTCCTTACAGGTTTCCAGACAGAACCTTTTCTTGCGAGTCCTTGTAACAAATAACGCTTCCTTCTATCCAGGCAACATCCTATGACCGGATATTCACCCCTTTGTCTGTAGAAGGTGCCATCGATGCCAGGTAACCAATCCTGCTTTGGTCACTTTATTTCACTTAGTGAAAGTAGCCTGAGAGCATTATTTTCCTGGTAACTGCCTGGTTTGGTTTTCCCCCACGCTTCCCCCACCAAGGGATGCCATTGCCAAGGCTGTGTATTCCCTGCTCTTCGACTGGCTCCTGGAGAAGATCAATGGATGGCTAGCCCCTCAGGAGATGGACAGCACTGTGGGCATTGTTGACATATATGGCTTTGAGGTTGCTTTTCCCATTCGTTTTAAACTGTCTTGGAGTCACTGTACTGGCTGCATGTATGTGTCCTGGTTCTTCTATTTCACTTGTTAAAGCAAGAGGGAAGCTCATAAGTGTTTGCTTATGGGAGGGGGAAGACCATGTCCCACAAAGCATGGGGCCCTGTCTGTCTGAACTGTGTGTAGTGTCCTGCATGCTTTTGATGCAATGGAAATAACATCTTGGTCTGGACTCTGGCATTAGTACTGTGTGTGACAAGATGGCCAAGCCAGTTTGGGAAAGATTGGGACTAATCCAGCATTTTGGCCCAAACTTTCCCCGGCCCCAAATTGTACCTCTGATTGTTTCTACTGAGGCATGGCAGTGTGTGGTGCTCTGAAACACACTCTGTCAACTAACAATGCAATCCATGAGCCCAAAAAGCAGACTGTGATGTAAAAACACAAATAGATCGCTTGGATGTTAAAGGGACATGTGCTGATTTAGGTCCAGCATTTAGGTTCTAATGATCTACATTGACCAATTACCAATACTTCTGTCATTGCAGTGTCTGGGCTTTTCCCTGCCACACTGTAGGCCATTTCTGGTTCTGTGCTTTGAAGCTGTGTCCAAGAGTTGAAGTGGATGATTTTGAAAATGTTTGGGTATGCCTCCAAATGCTTTGGGGGACAAATGCAGGAGATTGGACCCAGTAGCCCAAGACTTGCTTTAACAAGTGAAATAGAAGAACCAGGACACATACATGCATCCAGTACAGTGACTCCAACACTTTACTATATCTTTCCAGGATCTGGGGGTGAACAGTTTGGAGCAGCTATGCATCAACTTTGCCAATGAGCATCTCCAGCACTTCTTCAGCCAGACAGTTATTGCCCAGGAAGAGGTAACAAAAAACCCTTGCTGGAAGAGATGGCACACATTCAGGGAGTTGAGGCAGCCTCAACTGGAGAGCGTTTCCACACAGGGAAGAAAGGCATTGACTGGATCTATTCCTCGAGTTCAATACCAGTATGCTCTGCCTCTGGAATGGGGGTTATTAACAAGTCATTGCTAATTCCTGTAGTTAATTACTAGAGAAAGAGGCAGTTGGAGCACTTCTCCACTTGATGTGGCTTATTATAAGCAACATCTTTTCGATCTGAGACCCTAAAATACCACCTGGAACTTTAAGGCCAGGTGGTCCTGGCCTTAAGGCCACGGCTGGAAGTCACTGGTACCAGCTGTGCCCCTTGTGGAAGAGCAGAGTGCTATTTCCAGACTCGACATCTTGTCCACTGCCCCTTGCCTTGCTGTATTCTACCTCTGTTCTCCCATGTTAGAAAAAAGTGTTCACAAGCTTAATTAATGGCTAAAGTTGGGAGGTACCATGCATGTTTATAACACTGTTAAACCTCTAGTTTGCTGAGGAACCAATTGGATCTCTGCTAACTTCCTGAATTTGATGTTTGTTTTCCTGGCCGGGGTTCGGCTGGATGATCTCTGACCGGTAGGAGGAGTACACCCAAGAAGAGCTAGTCTGGATTCCCATTTCCAAGACTCGCCAAGAGTCATGCCTGGATCTGATTGCTTCAAAGCCCCATGGTATCTTGCGCATCCTGGATGACCAGACTTCATTGACCCAGGTTAGGAACTTGCTGTGGCTGTCAAACCACACAAATGGAGTAAAAAGGTCATTGTTTCAGGAGGGAAGTGTTCTCTTCATAATTACACTTTTGACTAGTTAATCTGGATTAATGTTTCTCTGAAAGACAACTCCATTATACCAAATAGCCATGAGTCCACATGACATTTCTCATTACTTTTCTTCAGTGAAAGGTGATTGTTGTCTTTTAGGGGAAAAGAAGATAATGTTTTTGATATGAGACAAGCTGTTAAAATAATTATGGTAGATTTCAAGCAGTGAAAAGGCTATTGCCTTTACAAACTGTCTCAAAAGCAGATTGACACAGGTGCCCGGCATAGACAGTTAGTGGACATCTCTGAGCACTGGAAAGGCTGGATGGTCATTTTTGGAATGATTCACTCCAAAATTTTGCCAAGCTAATGCTATGTGACTTAGTCAAAGGGAGATAATTTTGTTTAATGTTTATATTGCTTTCAGGCCAGAAGGCCTTGAAAAATGTATGTACAGGCAGTCCTCGACTTACAACGTTTCGAGTTACAACGTTTCGCACTTACAACATTTATAAATTGACACCCTGTTTCAACTTTATGACGTCAGTTTCAACTTTACAACGCTTGATCCAATGCGACGCCATGCCAGCGAACAAGTTCGCTGTGTCGTTCATCTCCCTGGAGAACATCTGTGCAAACTGCCTTGGACACTTTCTTTAAGAAAGCAGATGAGACTCCAGAAAAACCTGCAGCCAGGACTCCTGAGACGACTCCAGCCAAGAGCCCTTCAAAAAGTCCAGCAAAGTCACCTCAAAGAAGTCCTTCCAAATCAATATGATTGCTATTTACAATATAAATACATTAATGTAGCTAATATTACTCATCTATAATTGATCGAGTACAAAATTCTGGGTTACTGTTGGTGAAAATAGGGTATAAGGCCTTGGTTCAGGAACCAACCCCCCATTTAAAATGTTTCAACTGAAGACGCGTTTTTCAGGAACCAATTGTGTCGTAAGTCTGAGGACTGCCTGTAATAACCTCCCTCAACCAAACATGGGTTGTCAGTGAGGAATCAAACCCAGAACCCCCAGCACTGTAGTAAGAACCTCTGTCACCTGAGCTAAGGGAGTAACTCTGCTAGAAGTCTGCAATTATCTTCTTGTATGATCCATCCACTACAGATGGCATAGTAGGGTATAACCCACACGGGATAGTGAACTCACTATTTTCCACATAAGGTATATGCCTGGGAGAGGGGGGCTTCTCTTTATGCATACTTACAATTTCAAATTCTGTTGGACAATGGAGGTTAAACAAAGGAATTGGCTGTGACAATGTAAGCCATGTGTGCCTCTCCTGCTCAGGCCACTGACCATACCTTCCTCCAGAAGTGTCATTACCATCATGGAAACAGTCCTTTGTACACCAAACCCAAACTGCCATTGCCAGTCTTCACTGTGCGGCACTATGCAGGTCCTGTCACCTACCAGGTAAGTTCCTGGGGTCAAGCTGGGGCAGTCTGTGGGGGTCTGGGGCCATAATCATTGGGTACTTTGGATGATGCTCGTCTGCATTTTTCCTGGTCTAGTACCTGGATGATGCCTGCTTGCGGATGCTGCTAAGGAAAAGCTGCTGTGTTCTGAAGTTACTCTGGGTTGTTTAAGTCACGAGAGGACAAATCAGAATATTTATGCAGTGTGCCGGACTATGTACTCGAGATTCAGAATTTCTGTATTTTTTGGTTTGCTAATCCATGCTAGAGATTAAACCACAGCTTGACTTTACAGGTCCACAAGTTCTTGAATAAAAACCATGACCAACTACGCTCAGAAGTCCTTGATATTTTCTCCCAGAGCCGCCTCAAGGTACAGCACACGATTAGGGCAACTATTTTTGATGCCAGTATCTGACAGGCTTCTCCAGTGCTTTCTTCAGAGAAGCACAAAGATCAAAGCCCCTCAGAGAACTTAAACAGTGTCCAGGCATGCACTTGGGGTTGTGCTGAGTCATCTGCTTGGCAAATTTGTGAGCTCAGGCAGGCCCAGAATGGGCAAGACTTGGCAAGGCTTATTTCTCAGCAGTGTGCTTGGTCTCGCCCATACCTAAGGTCAGCATATATCTTCTGGGGGAGGTATGAATAGACCTGTGCCCTTGATTGGTTGCAGCCCTTCTGTTGTGGGTGGATGGTGGTGAGAGTGGTTTTTAGTCTTGGACCATTACAGTTCCAGAAGGAAGGGACTGTTCTTTCAAAGCAGCAAAGGGGAGTGTTACATCACTAACTTGCTGCTTTCCTCTCCTTTCAAGCTCGTGTCCAAAATTTTCCAGAAGGCCAAAAATCATCACAGCCAGCACAGGGAGCTGGGAACAAAGGGCAAAGGGCTCAAGCATCCAGCCTCAACCCTGGTGTCCAGATTCCATCAGTCCCTACTGGATCTCACGGCCAAGCTGGGAAGGTGAGGGATACAGGGATGACACCAGCCCTATCGTTGCTGACTGCCTGGTGTGAAAGCTCCCTTCACTCACTTGGTTGTTCTAGAAGGGCTTTATTGCGGGACATTTGAGTGGTTTAGCTGGGTGGTGATGGATGACAGAACCAGAAGAGGAGGATGGGCCTTGTTCAGCAGAGATGGATGGTGTCTTTGTGGGGATATGAAGGCTTCAGCAGCCCCTGGGGATAGCAAGGGCATTTCTGGAATGGGTTTGTTAAAGTGTCTTCCCTTTCCTCTGCCTTGCAGGAGCCATGCTTTCTTTATTCGATGCATCACACCCAATTCAAAAAAGGTAAGAGAGCTCCTGCTCCTGAACAGCAGCACAGGTCTTTGGGAAACCC